CTTACAAGACAAAAAATATAAAGCCTGTATTACCCCAAGCCACTATCCATTTATATCTTGTTTCTACACACCCAGCTTTATTCCAAATATCTTAACAGCTTTACCGGTCACAGAAAACAACTCACACGATTTGCTGTCTAAGACAAACCCTCGGCAAAAGTTTGATCATTGAGCACGGCTTCACGCTTAGATCAAATTACAAAACCGGTTTAGCGAACAACAGGATTATCCGGTTCGGCGAGTCTGCTTCTGTTTTGATTGAATTACACAGACATTCCCGTATAGAAGATTCTTTTAATATTAAAAAGCTCAGAATGCATCTACGTTTAGAAATGTATTTCATTATGCTTGTTAGGAAATGGCTTGATTGTATTTATTTTATTTAAATATTTCACATGTTGTAATGATGGAATAAATAAATTAAATAATTTGTAGAAACGTGTACACGGATTTACCGTTAAAAATGTGATAGACGCAATAAATACGTACCACTATAATCACGTGAAATTCATATAAAAGTGTCGGGACAATTTTTAGCAACTATAGCACAACCAATAGTCTCTCAGCAGCTCTTAGCCACTTAGCCAGAGGCGTAGCGAGGGAAGGGGGGGGGGGGCGGATCGCACTGGGTCACACCATTTAGGGGGGTGACACCAAGGCAAAAAATAGCAAAATATATAGAGAAAAACTTGAGGGGGGGGGGGGGTGGGTGCAACAAATCGAAAAGTTTGAGGGGGGGGGGGGGGTGGGGTGCAAATTGAAAATTTGAAAGTTTGTCCCCGGGAAGGGTCGCTACGCCTCTGGGGGGAGGGGGGTGACACCATTTAGTGCCGCACCGGGTGACACCCGACCTCGCTACGCCACTGCACTTAGCCACACTCATCCCCACTCAACCACTCAGCCACTCTCATCCACACTCACCCACACGCATGTATTAAATGTATGCAATCAAATTAAACTTACACCTGTGCCCGAAGTAAAAAAAAAAACATCGCTATTTTTCATTTTAAAATGAAATTGTATCCCACACATAGCACGACAGATTCAAGCCTTAAACGTGTATGAAAATATACTTAAAAAACCTCCTAAAAACAAATAGATTGAACATTAAGGTAAAAAAAAAGAAACAAATTAAAAAAAAATTCTTCTAGAAATAAAGAGACAAAATATGCTCAAGAAAAATGAAAGTTCTACAAAAACTCCAAACACTTTTATCTTCCCTAAACTCATGATATTAACAAACAATGTCACGACAACCCCGTAACAAATAACATCCTCATTTCAGTTTTAGTTTCGTATCCTATTTCCAACAGCAGGTGTTTTATATGAATTCATCAGTAAAGACAGTGAAAACGTAATCATGGAGGGCTTGCCTACACGATAAACACAGCCTCGTCTCCACAACAATAAAGAACACGAAAGAATACGATTTTTTTGTATTAATCAATGAATACACCAAGGATCAGTAGAATTATATAGACGCTCGTCAACACTGTGAACACTAGCAATACAATAGAGAAAATATGAGTGCAATGATTTGTACATGAATGAACCTACCAATACGGGATGGGTAAAGTCACACATACACACACACACACATACATACATACATACACAAACACACACGCATGTACACACACATACACACATATACACGTACCCACGCACGCACACGCACATGCACGCACACACACACATGACAGAGTCATTGCTTGCTGTCGTCTGTGTGCATCACGTTGTGTCTGATATATGACGCGTTGATTGTCGGCATCTCATCCATTTTTCTTCGATCGCCACGTCTTCATTATTTGTGCAAGACAAATCAGATTTCTACAGAATCAGATATAGATACAAATATAAAGCAAGCAAGGCATATGCTATACTGATAATATTTTGACGAAGCAATATGTGTCTGTTTATTCTGCAATAATCAAAATAAATCACTGGATATAGCATGCGTATATTTTATTAAATCATGTTTACGTATATAATGTTAACAGATAATTTATGATTTGAATACAAAAGGAATTTTAAAATATAAAATCATACAACTGGATATCATGTTAAATGGAAATCCAATTGTTGTTCTAGAGTTGTGTTGTAAATAATTAATTATAATTAAAACAAACGCCTCAGACAATGACAATAAAATAATAAAGGTGAGCTTTTATTAATTTATGACGTAGCATGGCTAAAATATGATATCCTTTAACAAAAATAAACGTTTGAAATATGATTACGTTTAATTAAGTTCATGTCAAGTTGGCTAAACAGTGAATATTATTTGAGAGTAGTTTTGAGAGTATAACATTTTCAAGAATTACCGCTATTGTTCAAAGATAATTTTTAAATTAAAAAAATTATTCTAATGATACATTTTTAATTTAACCGTTAAATAGAAAAGTAAAGTTCCCCTTTCAAACTCGACAGTCTTTGGGGCAAGTAAAGTAGAGTTCAGCTGTTACTGCTTCCTCGGAATATCAGAGATAATTGCGGTTAGCACTATGCTCAAACGCCTTTACTTTCCATTACGTTAGTTAGGTATCCAATCAGAACTGGAGGTACTCACGGACATTCTATTTCGAACTCAGCCGCTAAATAAGAAACTGGGTATAAGGTCCTCAATGCTCAATAATCATAGATTGTATAGTACCGTTCTTCTAGTTTTTGGTGACGTTGTTTTATGCGTCGGGTGAAAAATATATCTGCATAGTTTTCATTAAGTTACTCACGACCCTTCTTGCTAACTGCACTGGTATACTGTTTGACTTTGACGTAATTTATTTTAGTCTGGGGCGGAAAAGTCGGTTGTGGGTGGTTTTTGAGTTTGTCAGCTTTATTCGTTTCCTCTGTAACCAGCCCCAAACTAGTTGAAAAATAAGGATGGTTTAGAGGCTATAAACTCCTACCCATTAAAAATGATGTATTGGAAACGTAGACAGCTAGGGTAAAAGACGACTCTTACCTGAGGTCGGCTTATTTCCCTTTAAGGACGACAGGCTTACCTAACCTTAACAGATAGCATACTGTAAGTGTACAGGATGAAAATAGAGTCGTCCAGCTTGTATTAAATCAAATACATCTTGCGGCATCTAATTAGCTTTTTTTAAATTACATTATCTTTATCTGTATTTATGTGTAATGAAATACTTAGCATTCAATATACGTGCGTCATAAATGTTTACATACTAGAACCTTCCATGTCCAAAGTAATAAACATCTGGCTATTTTGTGATAGGCTTTTTAGCAAGAAGCATCGGCTTCAACCTGACAATAAAACTAGGCAGACACAGGATCAGACTTTATGTCTGTCGTTTGTCTGCCTGAGGTATGTCAATCCCAGGGACAGCTATAAAAAATTTAGTTATTATCCTGGAAATCCTGCATCATGTCTAGAGTCAATCGTGTAGCATCATCACGCATTTGCTCGGGATTCATGACTTGTTTTTTTTTATCCGGCTATCTACAGCGCTCGTTTGTGATTTTTTTATGTGTTCAGATATGCGTGTCTTAACTTCAATGTTGTAATTGTATGTTGTATGTTCTATGTTATTCTGGTGCATGTTTTAAATATAATGTTACAATTGCTTTTGTTGTATTTTCAATCGTACGATAAAGGGTGTTTTATATTCAATATTATCGTATAGCGTAATATTCCTTTGTACAATACTGGTAAAGTTCGATAGATGGATCTACATGTAATGGCAAATCATAATCTCTTTAAGTAATTCTTAACTTGTTCAACTACCCAGCATGTCGTAATTGTCTCCCGAGAGAAAAAATTAAGTTAAATTAAAATAATTGATATTTGATATCAAATTAAGGATGCCTTAATTTTACGTTTTTGAAAAGTTTATTACTGTTGTATACATTTTATATCCCATATCATATTTTAAAAATTGATGGTTGATAGTGGTTCATCTGTAAGCACGTTTTATTTTCTTGTGGTCAGAAGTGGTGTAAAGCCATACGCTCCCAACCCGAAGGTTTTGAGTTCGAACCTCGATAATTTCCACAGAGACATGTTCACGCATTTGCTGAAGAAAAAGAACAGATGCACCTTACCGCTACAGCATTTGTTAAGCGACTTGAAGATTATTTTTACACTCGCTGTAATAACATTTATGTTGCATATGTGGACTTCCAAATTTAAAATTATCTCTCTATATATATATATATAAATATATATATATATATATATATATATATATATATATATATATATATATATATATATATATATATATATATATATATATATATATATATATATATATACTTCTATAAGTTAGGCCAGGCAGTCGATAGGAGAACAGAGAGTTATAGATAGGTAGCGTCAGGGTAGAGATGTAGAGAATTAGAGATAGTGTAAGGAATGGTCATGGGAGTGCGTAGTTAGTAGAGTTAGCAAATAGTATATAGTTTAGGTTAGTTAAATTAGGTAGGAAGTGATTGTGTACATTTTAATAAAGAACATTATATTTTGACTTGAACTTGTGTGTTGGATCTTTTCATCATCTTCACCACCCCCACTCTTACATTTGGTGGTTGCTGTTTCCCCCACCCTCGCAACGGGCGGTAGATAATCTATTCACCCCCACACCCTCACAACTAGTCACACTGTTTCTTCACATTTCGTTGTCATAGAAATACAATTTCTAATTTATCAAGTCAAATTATGCTTTGACTCTTTTGAAAGATAATTCAATGTGATATTTTTATAAAGTAACTCTAAAATATTTGCACTCAAAATTATACTTCAAATGTTAGTGTTTCAGTTCCATTCCCTAACATTAAACTAAACTTGACTATAAACATAAATGGTCCTGGCTATCTATTTTATCAGCTTAAATGCTTAAGTAACGTTTGTACGTTTATACCATTTCAGATATCGTTACACAGCAGCAAACGTACACTAACAGCCTTGGATACATTTTCTAGTCCAGCAAATCTCCAAACGTCACTCCTAGAAATGACCTTCCTGCTCTTCAAACATAACCATGACGTCACCCAGCGCTAACCGCACGTCACATCATCGTCTGAGACAGTTCCAGACGGCATCCAGCACCTGCCGCAACCCATCCCTTATCATCTACTTCCTGTTCTGGAATCTTCTCATCATACACTGCTCCGCCAACACCGATACTAAGACAGAAGGCACCTCGCCCGTCCTGAAATTAAGCCGGCACTCTAAACTCAACTGCCACGAACAAAAGTACTCTGACGTTAACTCCAGCACCAAGACCACAGCGGCGCCCTACCCTCGACATGCCCCGCCCTCGGAGATCACCATTGGATACATCGCCAGCAACACGAAAAGGGAAGACAACCAACTCTACATCCCGCCTGGGCAGCTCTACTCAGGGGCGATAACCTACGCTATACAAAAAATTAACGAGGATCCCAACATCCTGCCCAATACCACCCTGAAATTTGTCATCGCTGACACCTATGGCGAGGAGAAGGAGAGTTTGTTTCAGACGGCTGAGATGATCTACAAGAACATTTCGGCCATCATCGGCCCTCAGGAGACGTGCGTGCATGAAGCCAGGCTGGCCGCGGCTTATAACGTCCCCATGATCTCATACGTGAGTACATTCTTATGTTACATCTTATGCGTGCATGCTATATGGCATAGATGTTACATCTTATATGGGTCTTAGCCGCGGCGTATAATGTCCCCATGATCACATACGTGAGTACATTCTTATGGTACACATTATACGTGCATGCGATATAGCGTACATGTTACATCTTACACGGGTCAAGGCATTCTTAGTGCATCTTATTCGGGCGTATGAGCGAAATAAGGGCAGATCAGGCTTCAAACCTCTTAAATCGTATATGGACCTGGAAGAGGGCATAAGGGCAGATAAGGCTTCAATCATCTTAAATTTTATACGAGCATGAGACGAGCGGTCCAATTACATCGTATACAAGACAAGCGTACCTATTATATCATATAGGCATGTGTATAAGGGTAGACTATCCTTAATTCCTTGAAAATCTTAGACGGGCAAAGGGGAGGGCATAAAGGAAAATAAAGTTTTATTCTTATTAGATCTTATATCGGCATTGTGAAGGCGTAGGATTTAAAGTAATATTACGCCTGTAGTGTTTTACTACAGTAGGAAACTTAATACAAGAAACTTCAAAGACAAAGGATCGTCTTTTGTTGTGTGTAAGAGATAAAGGTCATATAGTCTCTTGAATTGATCATCTAACTCATGTTTCAAACATCAGAACCGGCATTGACTGACCAGATCAGTGGCGGAACTAGAAAAAAAGGGCCACCCCGCAAAAAATTTTTTTGGGCCCCATAATATATATATATATATATATATATATATATATATATATATATATATTATATATATATATATAAAGCAAAATACGAAAATCCGAATATAAAATACTCAGTACGGGCATGTTCGATATTTGAAAAACTAAAAATTCCTAGTTTTTATTTATAATTAAAGCATGTTACAACAGCAGATTACTTATGTGAGTTCTATTAGTCTATTTCAGGGGTCGGCAACCTGCGGCTCGCGAGCCGCATGCGGCTCTTTTGATATCAAGATGCGGCTCTCCAGCTCCTTGAACAAATACTAATAATCTTAATAAAAATATAAGCTATTTGAAATAAAAAAAATGCTAGTGGCTCTTTAAAACCAGGGAAATTTTGAAAGTTGTAACTTTTGGCTCTTCCGCTTCAAAAGGTTGCCGACCCCTGGACTCTATTTAGAAATTCTCTGTTTTTAAGTTTGACATAATACCTTCTAAATTACTATTCGGTCAAAAGCATATGAAGCATGAAAGCTTTGTTTGTGTAATGGTTTCTCGCCTTATGTTTATTTTTATGTTTTTTTCTATTTATTTTATTAGCTTTTCATAAATTTCCTATTTATACTATGTCATTCTTTATTATGTATTTAAAGCATAATAATAATTAAGAGAAGTAATTGCTTTTTAATTTGTTTAGTGCAAATCTATTAAAAGGTTCTTAAGAGCAAACACACTTTTGACAATTTAAAAAAGGGAAATAAGTCATGGAAGTGGTTTGAACGTTTACCTATCTTTCACACTACAACTCAAATATACATTTTTTTCCTTTACGATGCAGCGTGTGTTAGCTAAAGTAGAACATCACTACTGTAGTAGATATGTTTCTTTTATATGAAAATTATTTTTTTAACTATAAAGAAATTGATTATGGTCGGCTGTGGGCCCCTAAACGGCCTGGGCCCCCCCGCATTGCGGGGTCTGGCGGCACTGTAGTTCCGCCCCTGGACCAGATACATGTTAAAGGGTAGTGGATTCGTTAGCTTTTATCTCAAGGAACTTGCTAATCAGAAAAGTGCACCCAAGTAAATCCAATCAAAACACTGTGTTTTGTTTTTTTTCAACCTTTTATCAACATGTGTCTCTCCCATAATGCTAGGTATTTTTTTATTGATTTTCTCAACAACGTGTTCGTATTACGAAACATCTTTCCATTCTTCTGATCTATTATTTCAGCGATTTAATCCTAAAACGATGGTAGCTTAAATAGATCATACACTACATTGTTTTACATAGGATTGAGTTTAACTATTAGCTAGAGCTAATTTGAATCTAGTTAGCGATTCTAAATGAAAAATTTCTTAGACATTTTCGAAGATTCGACCACCATTTTCAACAAAATATAGTTTTAGTTTGATCAAGTTAAAAACCAATGCGCCTTCAGCATAGTTAAACTAAACCAATATTCACTATGAGGGTCTTCTATAACTTCGTCTCCTTACCGCTAGTCACCATACACATTAGGGCAAAGTAAAAAAAAAGTTCCCAAGTGTTCTAAACACAACTGCTGTCAATTAGTGTAAACGAAAGGAAGGAACCTTTTTGTTCATTTAATTTGTAATCAAATAACGAGTTTTACGTGTAAAAACAATCATTAAAGAAGTACAAACTATAATCAATTTTTATTATGAAAAAAAAAGTGCTTTGTTGAAAATTTTAAAAGTACGCAAATTAAACTTAAAAAATCCCATCATTATGTCTACCTGTCAACTTAAAAAAAATCATTTTATAATTACATGAAAAAAAAATAATTGACAAATTTATTGTCATTAATCAAGCGGAGTTTTATTGAGGCATTTTTTTTTATTTTGTAACACGGAAGAAAAGTGGGGTAGCATAAATAAACCCTAACCCTACCCAAGTACCCTTCCATTAAACTATTCACCCGCAGTAACCGCTTGACTGAAAATTGTAGTTTGTTTGATCGTTACCCGCCCCACTTGGGGAATTCAACGTGTTAAGGGATACAAAAACTGCTGTAATGAAGGGACAGGTTGCCTTTGTTTTGAGCATACAGACGCTACAGCCTGTTCAGCCATCCGGGTTGAGCGTGAATTGTATCCCCTCCAGTTGCGCCCCTTACCCCGCCTCACCGGAAGTGTGAAAGGAAGCGGGTTGTCCCAGGGATGACAAAACGATCCGGGTTGATCGGGGTTGGGAGAGGTCTTTTGTTGTCGTGTGATCAAGGTTTGTGAATGTCAGGTGATTAATAGAAAAATCATCGCTGTCCTCGCTTTTGTCTGGCTTTTTAATTACAAGTGTGATTTTAAAAAAAAAAGAATGTTTCAATAAAAACAAGTTTGAAATCTTTACAATTTCACGTAATTTATTTTAAAATTTGTTTCCGTTTCTAGAAAACACGTCGTTTAATTTAAATTATTTCTTTCTTTTAATTAAACTTTTTTATAATATAAGCTGGTCATGCATAAATATTTCAAGGATTGTATGCAATGTATAAAAAGCTATTGTTGCCTTGACGAGTGTAGAGTTACTTCCCTCTAATAAATCTGCATTAATGTCGTTTTTTTTTTTTTTACCGCTAGATCTTTCGTTAACACTGCTACACAGTATTTTGTATGCATGAAATGCATAGATCCCGGAATGGCTTTTGCTTTCTATTCTCCTGTCTCCATCCAATAGACCAGGTCGACTTTAAATTAACGAATTTCTCAGAGTAATGTCCCTTGGTCTCCCCAGTCGATGATTCTGCTGTATACAAATCTAAACAAATAGGGTTTCTATCCGGTTTTAAACTTTTAAATTATGGGCTTTTAGTTATTTAATATTTTGTTTCCAGACCACAAAATACACAAAATACGACGGATTTTACAAATTAACATGAAAAAACAACACATTATCTTTAGATTCGAACAGGCCACAACATGCTAAAACAGCACGAGTTTTAAAAAAAAGAAAAACCTAAAAGTTGGTCCTGGTAAAACTTGCCCTTGTGGCATGGCCCCGGATAATACAGAGCACGTCCTTCAGGACTGCTCCTTGTACAAACAGGCGCGATCCAAATACTGGCCTCTATACACCCCACTCATGGAAAAAACTATATGGGGCACCCACATACATAGAGAACACAGTCCAGTTCATACACGAAGTTGGAGTTGTTTAAATTCTCCAACATAAATTCATCTAAGAACGCAGAAGATGAAGTTTCAAGACCATGGTATTATTTTTTTTTTAAAAACATTTCCTTTAAAGCTGGTCAAATCTTCGATACCACTGACTCGTTTATATAGTAACGTTCTCTTTTTCAAACCTGACGGTCCAAGGGGCAAGTGAAGTAGAGTTAAACTGTTTCTGTGACCTCGTCACATGAAGGGATATAATGCCCAGCGCTATGCCCAGCCACCTTTTCTTTCCCTAACGTGAGTCGGGTACCCACCAGAGCTGAGTTGACTCGTTTAAAGATTGCTTAAAATTACTCATTTTGCTGTGACCACCGAATTTTGCAGCTCATTTTCTAAATACTTTTTTCTGTCTCTCAACATGATTTACACAAAAATTTCGGTTCTACTTAAAATTTTAGAAAATGTACAAAAATAAAATGCACTGCATTCCAGAAAAAAATATGTATAAAAATGTATTTAAAAAGTTTCAAATATGATTATTATTTTTTTTGGAAAATGCATTGCTCTTATTTTGCTTAATGGATTGACCTTTTTCGCCAGCTCCAACTAATGCCATAGCTGATGTATTATTTACACGGCTGTCAAACATGGATCACAAGCGTAAATGAAGACTGGGAGAATCCACTTTAAATTGTGAAACAAAACAACCGCAGCTCAACATTTGACAGTTAAGCTGTTGAGTGAACTATTCCACGGCTGTTCTTATACTTGTACTATTGTAATACGTGTTTGTTAATTAATCATCTTTTCCCGTTTTTGCCCAAGACACACGGGGCAGATGAAGTAGAGTTCATCTACTTCAGAGATCTCGGCATATGTATGGAGAATGTGGTCACCACTATGCTCAGCCGTCTTGGTTTTCCTAATGGGAGTTAGGTACCCAAAAAAAGGGTGGACTCAGGTACATTCTACTGACTTGGACCCGGATTCGAACTTGAGACTTTCGGGTTAGCAGCCTAGCTCTCTACCATTAGGCCATGCCTTACAGTTCTATGTCAATTACTTACAAAGTACTTTTGTCGGCAAAATATGTTTCTTTAATTAAAATATTTTAACCGCCATTATTTTCAGTGTAATGTCGAGTTAACTGGGGTGACAGGAACGTA